TCAGTTATGCCAGTTTTGTAAAGGAGGAGCATATCACCTAATTATAAACTCCCCACCAAGAAGAGTAATTATGAAATTAGTCATGGAAATGGAACAAATCCAAACGCGAGTGAAAACGTCGGTGGTCAGTCTTTCACCCGAAAAGGGAATAAAATCAAAAAGAAACCGGAGAAATGAAGTATAGCGAAAGTAAACCAGCTTGGTTATGTGGCATCGAGAAGTTGTTCTTGACTGCGGCCGAATACCACAAAGGTGGGTTAATGCTAATTTCGACAGAACTGACTCACCACGAAGACACTGCCTGAGAAGGGATATAGCATTAGACATTGTCATGGAACTAAACAAAATTACTATTACATCCGCTGCACAAATAACGCTCTGGAGATATGGATTGGCAGTCTTCAAACAAATCTAAAAAACTATTCTAATTATATCTACATTGAAAACAGAATGTTGATGAACTGGCGCATGCTGATCATTAGATATGGTGGTGGACACTAAGGTGAATCGCCCCATTCTGCAGGAACAGCAATATGCAATTTGACGGCTCGAGATTTCTATGAGGGCTTGAATCTTTATCTTGAAAAAGATAATAATGATCGCCTAGACAGATCATGCTTCTACCTTCAAACACATGCCATTCGGTCAGCCTATTGCTGAGATGCGACCACGTGGGCTCTGCACAGATTTATGGGGCGTCTTATAAATTAACATGCTTTCCTTTGTCACATCTTTGAATATCACTTAACAATGTCTCATCTCATTCATTGTCTAATAACGTCTTCACTTGCTCATTATATTCCATTAAACCTTTATGAATTTGATTCGAATTATTCTATTCCTATTCTCTACAGGGTACGGTTGTGCACCAAATACACAGAAAGGTATGAAATAAAAATAACCGGCCTGTGGATAATTGTAATAAAACCAAAAGTGGACATCACGATATTATGACCCATATAGGTAGTATTATACATTGCGAATGAACTTCGTCAGCCTAGGGATAATACTCTCCTATTGTATTTCCTTTATGAATGCATCTGTTAATGATACATTGAACTTACCTATTTCATTACACTTTAATGATTCACCTTAGCACCTTTACTTTTATAAAACGGCTTACTATCCCTTGTAAACGTTGTACTTACCTCAATATTGGTTGGTTATCGTATGCCTACAACTACGGGTTGAAAACGAAGCGAAGTCGATTTTCCCGCGCAACCTGGAGGACTACTGTTCAATTCAATAATGATACGACCTGGGTCAGACAATGAGTGTATTTATATATATATCAGATACTTAGCTGTTCAAACATTATTAACTTGTATACAATCTACTATTTGACATCATATCATACTTGATCGTGCCTGTAAAAATGGCATGCATTTTCATGTAAATTTATGTTTACTTGAAAGAGGTATCAGATAGACAAGGAACAATGCTTCAGATGTGAGGTTTTTCGGCATCTAAATAGCAGAAATACTGTCCCTTAAAACGAAATGATTCGCAGTTATTAAAAATGTGCCGTCATACAAAAAGTGTGCGACAGTTTAGTAAACCACAAATGGTCTAATTAACACAAAGTGCGAAATGGCATATAAAAGCACAACTTTAGGTTTGAAGGTGCAGTACTAGGCGTGGCATGCAGTGGAAGGAGAACCACAAATTCCTTTTACAAAACTGGCAAAGGTCTTAGAAGCAAGATAATCAAAATGAAGCACAGAACGCCTCCCCAAGAACTACAGGAAGGCACGCCACAAGTTAGGACTTCCAGGGAAGGGGTCGGTCCAAATTCAATACCTGACCGTTGAAAACAGTACCAAAGCGTGTGGAAATAGGAGAAAGTCCTAGACAAACCTATGCAGGAAACACCAGGACTACCCCAGAAATCCGTATCAATTCATGGCCAAAAGAAAAATCACTAGCCAGGGTGTATATGCAGCTTGAGAGAATATGGGAGATTTGCTGAGCAACCTACACGTAACCTTGGCATCTAGCGGCCCACTATAGGTGCAGCTGAACAACAGTGATGCGAATGACACTGGTACACCTTAACAACACACCGCTCAATAAGATATCATGAAGACTACTCCGTCTACCTGTAGATACGCAAGAATTTTCAACACCAAGTATCCTAAAAGCAAAGAAATTAAAGTAACTACACATACGGTTTCAACAATGCCCGTCCACGTCGGCCTGGCATTTAAAAGAGACATACAAGTCATTTTATAAGATTTTAGATACTAACTAGTTAGTTATATGATTACTCTTTCAAATGAGGGACAATTATGAGCGCGAAAAGTAGGATAATACGACAGTACATGTGTACAAAACACCATCCCTAAGTGCACTTCTTCTATGTAATCAGAAAAGAGTTGAGAAGCCAAATCAGAACAATAGTCTGACTGTTCAAAATACGAAATGTATTTCTGGTTAAGCGGTGTCCGGCATTGACTTGTATTGCACTAAGAGAGGCACACGAAGAACAAGATGCAACGCAGCCGAGTGCTTAATAGCACGAGCGCTTGACTTTACATCTGCAGCATAACCGACATGCTTAAAAGTAAATAATGAGATGTCCAGGCTAATAATCATGAGGAGTTAAGTGCCCCTACAGAAAATACAATCATCATTAGCATTCCTGATTGTTTACATTATATTGTGTGAACACATGAAAGCGAATACTTAGGCCGTATAGAAAGGCGGTTGTCTACTTACATTGCCAGGTACCCAAGCAAATAGCTGAGTCAAGCCAAGTGTGACACTGACTCTCAAGTAATTCACCTTTGCCACTAGACGAACAAGCCAAAAGACACTTTCGATTTCAATGGGCTGTGAAATTAGAGTCTACAAAATGGGTCTCCGTGTAAAACAAAAATACTCTCTAATTCGAACTTAGCATAGATAACGCATCGCCAATATTACAATCGTTCGTATCCAAAATACAGCTTCTGATTTAATCATGAAAACTAAAACTTTTCTCCTCAGTCTTATTTTTGCCCGTAAATTGTTTCACTATCGTGATCACGAATATTATCATTAAAATTTTGAGTTCACGATACTTTTTCTGGATCGTTTTTAGTATATTACTTTCATTTCAGTAGTGAGCAACAAGGAACCCTGGCAAATGATAAAATTTCCAAGAATTCGTAGCTTACAAATATGTAGAAGTAAATGAAGGCAGGTTGGAAGGACACCAGGAAAATCTTTGAGACGACAACCTAGTGATGAAGTGGAACTCTGATTGATCAGATGTCTTTTGGGTGACATGGAAAAGGTCACCTAACGATGAAGTGAAGGCTTAACCAGGGCCCCGAAAACGCTAATAAAATAGTGGTGCAGAAAGATAATAGTGAGAGTAACTACAAAGAATCCCACCAAAGATAAGGATCTTGCCTCTGATGGAGAAAGCAGAGCAAAGATTCTTTTTATTATTCCATTTTGCCCTGAGTGGAACATAGGCCTCCAACAACACATCTTCCCGTTGTTGTATTTCTTACTGTCCTCCTCAGATGGCTAGGCCCACGACTGAACATAATCTCTCATCTCCTCCTCACCACACCACCACCACCATGTCACCCCCGAGCTGGCAACCCACTCGTCGCTTCCCATTTAGATTGTGCATGATGTCATTCGGCTCATTCGACTCCTCAGTGGCGCATGCCCAATCCAGTTCCATTTTCTCCTAAACATTAGTTGAACAGCAGGTTCTTGGTTGGTTTGTTCTCAGACGGAGTTTCTTGTTGCTAATTGTTTCTGGCTGGCCGACCTACTATTTGATCTTCAATATAGAGCCAGTGAAGGCAGATGTCGATAAGTCCGCAACCTAACGGAAATTCTTTCCGTTTCGCGCCTGCTATACTCCTGACCTGTACAGAAGAAGTGCCCACCTGACTGACTTGACACTGATTTAAAAAATCCGAATGTTGTTCTTTATTCTGGCTGAGTGAGAGAAGAAGATTTCCAAACGGGTCTCAGATTGATGAAGGCAAATCTTGCCTTCCCGATGCTGCCTACCTATGATATCTTCATCCCTTCTGTCGCCTGTAGTCTAAACGATGCTTACTAACCATACAAGTGAAGGGAGTAACATCATTCGGACCACTCCCGTTGATGGTGATTGGAGCTGGTTGTTGTTGCTTCCTGAAGGTAGGCCCTCACCAGCCTGCATCATTTAGTCTCTCCGATTCAAACGAAGGATAAGTTTGTTTTTTATATTTTTGTATTTATTAATATGTTTCTTTTACTTTGAAGTTTTTGTAGCAGTTTGATTGGTTTTGTGGCATAGAGTCGTTAGCTTCACGCTCAACTCTCCCTCTTTGAGCAGCCTTGGGACCGGCTAGAAAACTAGCAAGCTAGTATACTAGGAGAGGTTACAGATACTAGTTGCACTCCTATGACTCATTATTTTCTTGT